ATGTTTTGTATTTTTAGTAGAGACGGGGTTTCACCATGTTGACCAGGATGGTCTCGATCTCTTGACCTCGTGATCCACCACTGCGGGTGCTTTTATGGTGCTAGCGCTGTTGCACAGCCGAGGAGCCTTTTAGCAGCCCTTATGCTGGCGTGACAGAGGGCTTAGAGCATTTTGCTTTAGGGTTTTTTTTTTTAATGCCACTTTAGTTTTATACTTTATGACCTGAGATTTATTAGTAAAATTAAAGATTATGTGATTGTATATATGTATATATTTATGATTACATGTGAATAACTGTGATTATGATTATATATGGGAATAACTATATAGCTATATTTTATTTTTTTTAATATAATATTTATATGAGAACAGACTGAGGCCTTAGACCCTTGCCTCGGCTCTTGTGGAGATTTTCCCCCCACACAACTAAAAGCGCTATTTTGTTTAAATACACAGATTGCAAGATACAAGGCTCCATTTCATCAGTTGCGCATTCAGTATGGAACGAGCAAAGGAAAGAACTACACTGAGGAAGAAGATAGATTCTTGATTTGTATGTTACACAAAATGGGCTTTGATAGAGAAAATGTATATGAAGAATTAAGACAGTGTGTACGAAATGCTCCACAGTTTAGATTTGACTGGTTTATCAAGTCTAGGACTGCCATGGTATGTATTCCTTTCTTACTGATTTCCTCCAACATTTTATTTTGAAAAATTTAAAACACCATATATCCTTCACCTAGATTCTCCAATGGACATTTTGGCACATTGGCGGCTCTCTCTCACTTTCTGTGTGTGTGTGTGTCTGTGTGTGTGTGTGTGTCTGTGTGTGTGTGTGTATATATATATATATAGGGATGTCTATATTCTATATTCTGAAATGCATATCTGTACCTTATATTCATAAGTATACTTAACTATATTTCTGAACCATTTGAAAATGAATTACAATGTGAGTCTTCACCTCTAAATACTTAAGCATGTATCTGCTAAGAATAATGGCATTTTCTTACACAACCACAATCCCACCTGAAAACATTGATTCAGTAATGTCGTTTAGTATACAGTCCATGTATAAGCTTTTCCAGTTGTGCCCCAAATGCCCTTTGTAGCTTTTTTTTTTTTTTTTTGATGATCCCACAAGTTTCACACAATGCATTTGGTTGTTAGGTGTCTTTAATCTTTTAATCCACAACTTTTTATTTTTCGTAATCATGACTTTTTAAAGGTGTCCAGGCTAGTTGTCTTGTAGAATGTCCCACATTGTGGATTTGCCTCATTACTCATTGTAAGATTTAGATTCAACATATTTGGCAAGCATGCTATGAAAGTGATGTTATGTATTTTTTATTACAATCCCATCAGAAGGTACATTATGTCAGGTTGTCACATTATTGGTGATGCTAAGTTTGCTCATTTGTTAATATGGTGATCTTCAGAACTCTCCACTTTAGAGGTATGTTTTCCCCTTTGTAATTAAGCAGGTTATACTTGAGTCTATGTGAATGACTTAAAGATTGATTTTTAATGTGAAAGACTTGTTGCCTAAGTTGAATTTTTTATTAGGAAACAATATTTAAGTAGAAGAGATTTTATTTTAGCTTATGTGTTTTCCTCCATTACTTTCTAATGTGAATTGTGTTCCTATTCTGTTCTAGTCCTAGTTAGCAGTGGTGTTCATGATGATATTTAAATACACGCAACACATTTTTAATGTTGGCATTGTTAATCTTTTGTCAGCCAAGGTAATTAGTACAAAAGTAGATTTATATAGCCTAAAAATTAAAAGCAACCAGAAACTGACAATCCAAACAATGTTTTTGTGACTAGTCATAAGATAGGATACATTTTTCGTAGCTGCTACTTATCATAAATATCTTTTTGTCCAAAAGTTGACTGAGTGTGAAACAATGCTTAGTATTTTGCTTGAGTTACTTTATATTTTCAGTTCAAGTTGAATAAATAGAAAGGAAAAATCTGGGTTACTATAGTGAAGACATTAATTTTTGCAGATGCTTTAGAAGGTCACATATTTGTTAAAACTTTAACACAAATTTAGAGTGTGTGGACTGTGCTCATCAAATTTATGGATGGTGTATGCTTGGAGAGCTAGCAAATATTTTAGACCAAGCCATGATCCAAAGGAACTAGAGCAGCTGGAATGATGGATCAGTTGAATCTAACAACACAGTATTTATTCATTTATTTAGAGACGGAGTTTCACTCTTGCCACTCAGGCTGGAGTGCAGTGGTGCAATCTCAACTCACTGCAGCCTCCACCTCGCGGGTTCAAGCAATTCTGTCTCAGCCTCCTGAGTAGCTGGGATTACAGATGTCTGCCACCACACCCAGCTAATTTTTGTGTTTTTAGTAGAGATGGGGTTTCACCATGTTGGCCAGGCTGGTCTCGGAACTCCTGACCTCGGGTGATCCAACCGCCTTGGCCTCCCAAAGTGCATGAATTACAGGCATGAGCCACCACACCTGGCCATCACGACGTTTAATAGGGATAAATATAGAATGCTATACTTGAAAAAAAATATGAAAAGATATATATGTTAGCAAGATATAGTAGAAGAATTAAGAATAAAAATGATGAGGTAATCTGTAGCATGAAGGACTGAGGTTAGATATAGGGAAGAATTGTTTGATAGGGTTCTTTGGGTCATTGAAATAAATTATTGAAGAACAATGTAGAATAGCTTTTCATTGGCCTTTGAAAGTGGAATTATATTTTGACTGTCTGAAGATGTTGGCAGTGAGTTACTTGGCCTTTTAAGGTCCCCTTTAGCACAGTGAATCTATGACTATGTTTAGAAGAGAACTACTTTTAAAAGCCATGCAGGATAAATCTTTTAGCCATTTGGGGTTTTATACATGTAATGATTTAATTTAGAGTACCACTAACAGCTTGTAAAAGACAAATGCCTACCTGCATTTGTCAGTTAATCATGTTTTAGAATATACATATCCTTTTCTGTGATAGAACAGTTATTGAATTTTGAGTTTTTATTTCAGTGATATTTTGCTAATTTTTTAAAAGGTTGAGAACTTAATACTGTTTTCAGTTTCTGGAATCATTAAAACAGTCGGATGAAATGTATTCAAAGTGCAAGGAAAATCTTATACTGTTTATAATATGAACATGACTGTGGAACTACATAACCTTATTTTATTTTCTAAGAAAAAAATCCAGTATAATATTACCAACCACTAGATGTCTCTGAGCTCCCTTGTAAAAAATCTGTTTTTCCTCTCTTCTTTTTACAAAACATTTACCTCTGTACTCTTTCTTTACCAAGAAATTTAAATCTCAAGTATATTTTCCAAAAAGCACATATTAATTATTTAAATGATCATAAAATGAAATCTTGTCTGGTAAAAATGAAGACATTTCTGTCTTTAATTACCTTCTAGAAAGTGGAATTTATTATTTCTAAATAATCTTCAAAACATGCCATAGTTTATTTTATATTTAAATATTTTAATTGAAAAGTTGTATTTAGCATTTTTTTCTATCATATTAAATTTTTATTTCTTTTCTAGTTAATGGATAATTTTAGCTTATGTTTCTGGATTTAGAGTATAAATAATATATTTTAAAATACATATACATTTGGGTCTTTTTAGACTATTTCATGATAATATCAATAATTAGGGAATTATAGAAATGGATTGATAGTTCTTGATGATCTTCTTTCCTCCTTTCATTTTTAATGACTGTTCTGTGTGGTGAATCACATTCACAATCTAGAAAGAGAAACTGCACACTTTGAAAGAGGCACTTGTGATTTCTGAAATAAAAAGAATTTGTTTCATTGAAAAACCCCATCTTAGAACTACAGAGAATGCAGTTTGATTCATTATGTGAGTGTATCACTGTGTTCAAATGAAAATCTTACTAATGATTGAACTGAGCTTACTAAAGCTACCTTTAAAAAGTCTTGCTTAAAGATGACTACTTTCTCAGAGACCTGAATGGTGTGAAATGCATCTTATAAAAAGTAGAAACCTTAATAGTTGTATTTTATTCAGAGATCTCAAAGTACTGAATTCATGGTTCCTGACTTGCCTAACAGTCATAAAGTGCTTAAAAGCATGAACTTCCACTTCTAAATATGCCTCACTTTGAAAGCCTTCAGCTAAAGGTTGCAGATTTCTTTGAGGCTCTTTTTCATTTAAAAATGCTAGCTATACAAAAGAGAAAATGACTTTCAGTTCAATTTCTCTGTGCTAAAGGATTGCGATTTCTTTCTCTGAGAACTTGTGTGGTCTTTAAGTAAGTAATCAGTCTCTATTGAACTACATAAACAAGTAGGAAGGATATGATCAACTTAGCTTTTTAAGCTCAGAGCATATGAATTGCCCTACCATTTTCTTTCTAAGAAAACCGTTTTAGAATGAGGTCATCGTCTTAGGATAGTCAAAAACTATCGGAGTTAAAAGGACTTTTACCAAGTAACCGTAAAAGGAAGTAATACTCTGTAATTATATAGTACCTTTTATATAATGCCTGCCAATCCCTTTACTAACCTTAGCTTAATTTTCTTGCCACTTCTTTTAGGAAATGAATGTCAGTATAGTATCTCTGTTCATTTAGTGACAAGAGTAAACATGACTGGGAGATTCGAGAAGAATCTGAGAGGTCCAAAAGATCTAGCACATTAGTCAGTTTACTGCAAAGGACATGTAGAAAGAGCACCCAAAATTCAATCAGTAATTCCTTGCGCCTTATTAGGTCCTTCTAAGTAGTAGTTAAAGTAGAAAAAGCAGAATTTAATTCTCTGAGAGAGGGAACATTTCTTGACAGAACCATTTATTGCATTATTTGCAGGGTTGCTTTGACTCTTAATTATAGTTAAAAAAAAATTCTCACCTTTTTACCTTTGGGGAGCTTTTTCCTTTTCCAGCCAGCTCAAGAGCCTGTGTGTGCATTGCCTGTGGTCATGTATATGTTGGAGTTGAATCGAGTATTAGTAATTAGTCATTACAATTACCCTGTCTTTTGTAGTAGTTTAAATGCATTTTTCTGATAATATCTCAGAAAGAGAATCACACACTGTTGTATACAATGTAATAAAATTTTGTTGCTGTTTGTTTTCAAATCACAGCTTGATTATAAATGAAAGTGTTTTCTATTTAAAAGGTAAGAAAATGACATTCTCCATTAGAATTGTAGGAGAAAAAATACTTTTTAGAAAACACTGCTCTAGCTCTTTATTAACTTCCCTATGTTTTGGCTTATCATGAGGTTTTAAATGTTAATTAGGTTATTGGTTCAGCACAGGATAGTTTATAAATTTATCAGTTCAGTCAGAAATGGATTTTCTTTATAGACACTTAGAAAAATGACAGTCAAATTAAAAAATTGCCAACTTGTTCTATAGTCACAGTAACTTCTATTTGCTGCTTATGGAGTGTAGTCTAGGACATTTTATAAGGAAAGACAGCTACTCATGATTTTAACTTCTGTTAGTACCTAATTGTGTGATAACAGCTAATACTGATTTTTTTTTTAAGAGGGAATCTCGCTTTGTCTCCCAGGCTGCAGTGCAGTGGTGCGATCTCAGCTCAGTGCAACCTCCACTTACTGGATTCAGGTGATTCTTGTGCCTCAGCCTCCTGAGTAGCTGGGATTACAGGTGCATGTCACCATGCCTGGCTAA